TTCAAAGACAGCTGAGAACTTCTTGAAACAGCCAATCTACTTTGCGAGTTAAACCTATGGTACGAGGAGCTGAAGCAATGACAGTAGTTCGATATATCATACATGTTCAAAAACACGTGATAGTTACATAAATTCTCCATTTATCTAGAACGAATTTGGGGGGGGGGGCCCGTTGTGTACTGTATAGTTGTATTTTATTAATGCTCTCCATTTAAACTTAGATAAATTGTCAACATATCGGGAAACTGGCTTCTGCTGTACTGACTCCGTAGTGTCCGTAACCAGAAATAGTGTGTCGAAATTCAATATTGTTTTTACAAGGCAACCCCGGGTAAATGTAGTTGCATAGGGGAATTGACTTGTATTTTTTAGTACATGTCGCAGATAATTACGTAATTTAACATTCGTGCTTACCGGTATGTAATGAGTTACTCTTTAGAATCACGTCACAGGGTCTTCGTTGTGAAATGCATAGCCGACTTGGTAATGATGCCTCATTAAATTACCGGGTTGCCACGGCAACAGAACTGTTAGAGCCTGCAGTCTCTCAATGACTAACGTACCGACTGACCACCAGGCCACTGGAATTATGAGTGACCCCGTGATAAATGGCAGCTACTCATTGCATCGTTGACGTTAATGCTGGAACACGTTAAACGAAAATGTGATTCGAATTCCTGGAACTCAAAACGCAAAGAGGTTAACCACTAAAACCAACGTGGTCCATCGTTTTAATGCAATACTACACACGTGCAACTGATTTTATAAGCGTTGTTTACTGGTTTGTGTGTGCGTATATGAGCACGGCTTCATGATATGCAGATGAATGGCATCGTGAAAAATGTTGGTTTGTCAATGTCGAAGAAATTGAAATTCTTGTGGCTGTAGAAGTATTATATTGGCCCTAAAGGATTACTGGTATTCGAAATACATGTTTACAGCAGTCAAGGATTACAGCTGCTTGGTTGAAATTCAGATGCTTTGCATGCATGCAGGTTTTGAGGGATCTGCCGCAGACTTGCTTAATTGCAGGATGTGACTCATGCCATTACAATACGCGTGTAGGCGCACACGTACACAAGACGCGCGCGTCTATCAACATATCACCTTATCCGCTATATGTATGTTGAACTTCCTTCACACCGTGCGTAGCCAACCGTGCTAATCCAAGTCGCGTGGAATTGACAACGAAGTACACGCAAAAAGTTGTTCTAAAAAATGAGTTTTCAATCATGATGATTTAAAAGTGCATTGCTCCAGTGGCTTCCTGATATCGGAAGAGTATTCCAGACATCCGCAAAGGACGCACTTGAAAGCGCACGATGCAACAACTGGTCAGGTTCTGTATTAGTTCATGCTCAGCCACTGTGGTTTTGCTATTTAGGAAGGTAGGTACTGCACTTAAAACAAGAGCTGGGGCGATTAATCGATTAATTTGATTGGTCGACTAAAACTTTAATCGACTATTTTCTTCGTTGCCAATTTACTTAGGTCCATTTAAAAATGACGGCCACCCAAACACGCTGCTGTCTCAAGGTGGGAACCCCCCTTACAGGGCACACCCAGTGGCCGATGGACATTGCGGTGAGGAATTTGACAGCGATCATTCGACAGAACGCAGGTGAGACTTCCCCCCCACCCACCGCCGCTCCCCCTCCCAACTATTCTCACATCATCTGATCAGTCGAGTATGTCAACCCGATAATGGGATGAGAAGCGATCACTTAAACAGATCGTCTAATCCAAAGTTGCTTAGCAAACGAGGGACAGCCCATTGCCTCATGACGCCTCTTGCTAAAAGGACACATGGGGTGGGGTATCCCGTAAATTTCACGTGTCGTTCCCGAGTCTCGCCTTCGCTGACATTTCACGCAGGCGAGCGGCCACTGTCCATCCCTGCCGTCCGATGAGCACGGCTGGCTACGTACGGCGCGAAAGAAGTCAAACGTACACACCGCACGTACGTACGTGCATACGTGCGTCCACAATGCTTGCAGTCCCCACCGTGATGTTGGCCACAGACCGTGCCGTGCTGGACTTTGCTCACAGCAGGGTACACCACCCCCAACCCCCCCCCTCCCCCCAACTTCTCTAACGTTGTGGGCTATGGGAATGTCTAGTGAGCGGCTTAGACAGCTCACTCGACTGGAAAAAACGACTCGAAACGTTGACACATCGTCGCATTCATCTGCGGATTTGGCTTTTTTTTCCTTCAAAGCAATGCCAGAGGGTTTCCGCCCTAAACTCGTGTCCCTCACCTCCACCCATCGACCGTCAATAATTACCGCCGGCGTTTGCTGATTGCCGTTGCACACCGCAAGCTCAGTGGCGTCGCCAGGGCCCCTGGGGGGGCTTGGACCCCCACAACCTGGGGGCTTGACCCCCCACAGAGCCTGGGGGCTTGGCCCACAGCCTGGGGGCTTGGCCCCACAGTGCCTGGGGCTTGGCCCCCCACAGCCTGGGGGCTTGGCCCCCCACAGCCTAGGGGCTTGGCCCCCCACAGAGCCTGGGGGCTTGGCCCCCCACAGCCTGGGGGCTTGGCCCCCCCACAGAGCCTGGGGGCTTGGCCCCACAGAGCCTGGGGGCTTGGCCCCCCACAGAGCCTGGGGGCTTGGCCCCCCAGAGCCTGGGGGCTTGGCCCCCCACAGAGCCTGGGGGCTTGGCCCCCCAGTGCCTGGGGGCTTGGCCCCCCACAGAGCCTGGGGGCTTGGCCCCCCACAGAGCCTGGGGGCTTGGCCCCACAGTGCCTGGGGGCTTGGCCCCACAGAGCCTGGGGGCTTGGCCCCACAGAGCCTTGCCCTTGACAACGCCGCCGCCGTCGACGCGCCGTGATCTTTGCCATGGCTACGGACATCGCCGGGCCCTCTCGGGAATGCGAAATGATTCCTGCGTAAACTTTTTTTTTGTTTGAGCTCGCGAAATCACTTGACGTGAAGCGTCGCGCGTTTTGCGGTGGAGTCACTTGCGCGTGTGGAGCTGGGTGGGCTTTCACAAGTCGGATCGGACGCGTGCGTTAAGCCTCGGCGTTTTTTGGTTGACTGGAATTTTGTGAGTTCTGTGTGTGTACGCTCCAATACTGGTCCAGTATTTTTTGTTCGTGATGAACGTTAAAGTGCATCCCCGCTCAAACGAACTTGGCACAATGCTTGTTTTCACTCGTGGCCCAGAGCTAGTGATGGAAATTACACGTTTCTATGGCGACGAGGAATGATGTATTACTGTTGCACCAGGGAACCCAAAACACACGATTTTGTTTGTCTCACTGGATGCTTTCTTTTTACAAATATTCGTAGTTGATTATATGTCCTATGATGTATAGTGCAGGGGTTAGCACGCCAGTGTGTGCTTGTTCAAAAGTTCAAGCTGCGTGATTGTTACCTAATTGAGCAGGAATGTGCACCTCTGAGTATAAAAGTGCTTAGTTGACCCGATGATTGTTAATTGCATGTCTTTGTCCTGGACAAAGTTACAAAACTAAAATGTGGGGGGGGTCAATATATTAATATTAACAAATAGCTCCAAGCTTCTTTCCATCAAAGACAATCTATTTCAATGGGTTGTTACCTGGTTAGTAGTTCAGAGTCTGCAGGCTGTGTGTGTGTATGGATAAAAGCTGGTACTTGGGTGAACAGAAATCTTGAGCTTGTCTGGCTGGGATCCCAGCACAAGTACGAACTTCCATAATTACGGTAAATCCTCCATCGTCCCTTAACGAAGGGGTGGCGGATGTTTTTTTGTTGTGTGTGTGTGTGGATTTTTGGCCTGGCAGGGCCTACGCTCGGAGGTGGAGCTCGAGTGTGAAGGAGCAGCTCGAAGAGATGAAGCTCTACTTCACCGCTCTATGCCACGACGGCACCGTGCTGCCTGGCCAAAAGAAATGCACCAACCTGCGCGAGGGTGACAAGGTGGACGAGGCCGCGCACACGGCACGCTGCGCTCGCACGGAGCGCTGCGTCGCGCTACGAACCCGGCGACCCGAGTTCGATTCCCGGCTCACGGCCAACACCAGCGACGATTATCTGGAACCGGTCCTGGGTCTCTCCAAGGTCAACTCAGCCTCAGATGAGTACCGGGCGCAGTGTGTAAACATCGCCACGAGGGAGACGAAGGCAGCCGGACGTGGTTGCTGGCCACCCACCACCTCGTGTGCCGTTCCGGCCTTCATAGGTGCTCGCTAACAGCGCTTGCTCCACAGCACTGGGTGTATCACAATGCATCCTCCTGGCAGTGCTTTCCAACTCCTGAAAGTGTAAAGTCATTGAAACTAACCGCAAAGAGACATCTCTTAGCTATACCTTCCAAAGTTGGCAAGTATGTCACTAACAATTTTCTAAGTATTATACAGAGTAACAAATACAGGATCCTTAATACACAGCACTCCGAATTCTGCATGACATCTCTTCCCAGAAAGTCACTCGATTCGTTGCTCTTTGCTTTGACAACATTTTGTCGCTCAGGAAACACAAAACGACGGTAAGCCTTAGCAACAAAATCACTCTGTTGTCGACAGTGCCCCTCGCGATTCGATGAATTGAAACATTAGGGGTCATGATTCAATTCAAGAATACATTCCTTTTTTTATCGATTGCATTGAACGCAGCAGCATCTAGTGGGCAGCAGGGGTCACATAAACCCATGACATACGACATCTAAGAATCGAAAATACTCTTATCTCTTTATGCGCTCAATTGTATGCATCATGAGCGTTACAATCAATGTTTTTGTATCGATCAATGCAGTTGTTAAACCCCTGCACGGCATGCGGAGCGCACACACATTGCTCGCAGACGCGCGTGCAGCACACAAAACCTGAGCAGCAGACGTAACATGCAGACACATGGCAACCACAGCGCCTGACTCACTACACCAGTTCCCTGTTAATCACCAGCAGCCTTCGAGATTGAAATCCTACATTCCTGCACTCAGACATGGACATTGGCTGTCCTGATCCACAAAGTGAACTTTCATTTTGCTAAGCACTTTGGCACAGGTTGTTTTTACTTATTTATTTGATTCGCTCCACCAAGGCTCGATGGCAAGTCTTGGACAGTAAGCCTTAGAAAGCGCCAAATTCATGCAGTCTGTCAAGCACCTTAGGATGGGCCAGAAGGCTCAGAGCCAGAAACGGGGCAGGCAGGGAGGCATGTGAGAGTGCTCATATTGAGTCTTTAACATTGGGGAGGGATGCAAATTTTCTTTTTTTTTCAAAGGCAGCAGAAGTAGCGTGAACATCAGATGGGGTCCTGGCCTGCGTTAACCTCTGTCACACGAGAGGCTCTGCCTTGCTCAGCTCCCAGCTGAGAGCCGGCTGCCATTACTCACTTTCATTGCTCCCAGCACGGGTTTCCTGTGTGCCGTTTTAGCTGTCATCGGGTCACTAACAAAATAATTTATAGGCATCTGCGTGTTAAGGTAGGTATGTCATTTTGCGCATGACTCTGTAAATAGTTGCTACGCTGTGTGCATGACGAGTGTGCATTTCTGCAAACGAAATTTGGGGCAATGGTATTAAAATAGGAAATGTACATTTTCAATAGCCTGTGACGTAAATCCTATGTTGAAAATACTGCAGGTTGAAATGTTCACGAATAACTTTAAAACCCTTTTGTCAATCCATATTTGGATGAAGGTCTCCCCATGCCCTGTCAACACGTGGGGGGCTCCCCATGCACTCACCCTGCTGGTCAATGCAGGTTGTGAAGGTGGCGGGCCCTGGTCTAATTCAGACATCACTTGCTGATCACGTTAGTTGTGGCCAGTAATCAAACTAAACTACCTAAACATTTTATTTATTTTACCAGGTAAGGCCCACTGAACTGTATAGCTCTTAAATTTTTATTTAAAGCTTTCGTGACTGCAGTAATTCATATTCTTAGTTTTTTCGGTAAAGTCACGTTGAAGAGAAACAACAAAATAATAAAATATATATAAAACAATAAAAATTCTCACGACGTTTCGACCATAACTCAAACGGTCGTCTTCAGGTGTGTTGGTTCGCATAAATTTATTTTTAAACGGCGCATTTATTTATTTATAAAAAATAAAAAAACGGTTAGCGCCACGCGCAACGATTTGGCAGTTTACCCAGGACTAGTCCATCTATATTCTGAAAAGAGGAGGGGGGAGACGAAATTTTTTATAATGTATGCTGTCTGAAAGCCACTGTAAGCGTGAACAATCAATTAAGACCTGAAATGGTTTATCAAATCTTTCCAATGATTGCTAAGATAGAATCCATCTTCTCGGTTGAAATTGTCTCTGTGCTTGTATATGTGGATAGCCTCATGAACGAATCTCTCATGGAAGCCAGATGGCTTACAAAGAACCTCTGTCTTGGAAAAGTCAATGGCATGTGAGCCTACTGAATTAGAACAATGATCTGCCACGGCCGAGGTGTTGGTCCTACCGTGTTTAAGGTCTGCTTTGTGTTCACGAATGCGGTCCGAGACATGGCGTTTGGTTTCTCCAATGTAACTACTACCACAGAGGCAACTTAGTTTGTAGACACCAGGGTATTGTATGTCCGGAATCACATCTTTTACAGACGGAACCAGATCACGGATTTTATGTAATGTGTTGAAACGGACCTGGATCTTGTGTTTATTCAAGATTTTGGAGATCTTTTTTGTGATCCCAGCAATGTAGGGTAAAGTGATGGTTTTGAAAGGCTCCTCAAGAGGGTTTTTCTTCATGGTTTGAGTGATAGCTTTGCGGATTGTATAGTCGGAGTAACCATTAGCCCTAAGAGCTTGGTGTACGTGCTTGAGTTCACTGCTTATGTGTTCCTGGTCGGATATGCATTGGGCTCTATGATACAGAGTCTTGATGAGAGAATTCTTCTGTGATGGATGGTGGTGGGAATCCGGTTTCAGATAAGCATCCGTATGGGTAGCTTTCCTGTAGACAGAGTGGCTCATTGAACCATCAGGTCTCTTTTTAATTAGGACATCCAAAAAAGGTATCTTGCCATCTATTTCGACTTCCATGGTAAATCTGATGGCTGGGTGTATGGAATTGATGTGGTCGAAGAATTGGTCTAGAGCAGGCCGGCCATGTGGCCAGATGACAAAAGTGTCATCCACGTACCTCTTCCATAAGGTTGGGCGCAGAGTGGCAGTCTGGATGGCGTCAGTCTCAAATTTCTCCATGAAAATGTTAGCTATAACTGGAGAAAGGGGGGAGCCCATTGGGGTGCCCTCAGTTTGTTTGTAGAAAGTTCCATTCCAAGTGAAGTATGTATTGGTTAAACAGTGTCTCACCAGGGGGGGTACCTCAGTGTTTAGTCCTTGATGAACTAAGTCTTCAATTATTGCAATGGTGTCAGGTACAGGAACCTTGGTGAATAAGGAAACTACATCAAAACTGACAAGCAGGTCGTCTGGGGACAGGGAAATACCCTTGATTGTCGATACCAGGTGAGTAGAATTTTGTACCGCAGAGGTGGTCTTTCCAGTGAAAGGACGCAGGATTTCAGACAAAAAACGAGCTAGTTTGTAGGTGGGGGAGCCGATAGTAGAGACTATGGGACGAAGGGGTGTATCTACTTTATGTATTTTTGGTAAGCCGTATAATCTTGGTGGCCTGGCAGCAGAAGGTTTCAACGAAAACTGTTTAGATTGATCAATTAATGCGGTTGAATCAGAAATTATTTTGTTGGTTTGTGTGACGAGGCTGTTGGTGGGATCTCTTTTATTTTTGTATAACTACCATCGTCGAGTAATTCTTTAATTTTGTTGTTGTATTCTATTTTATCCATGATGACAGTAGCATTGCCTTTGTCAGCTGAGAGGACTACAATATCATTCCTCCTCTTTTTTAATTTATATAATTCAAAACGCTCATCTTTGCTGAGGTTGCTAGCTGGCATCTTAGCGTTTTTGAGGGTTGCAGCGATTTCAGATCTTGCTACGTCTGCAGCGATGTGACCCAGGCCCCTGAGAGCAACGTCTACTTGGGCAATTATATCATTAACTGGTATGTGTTTAGGTGTGACTGCAAAGTTTAGACCTTTAGCTAAAACGGATTTCAGACCATCGGAAATAGAACTGTTACTGCGATTAATTACGACTTTATTAACGTCTAACTTTTTGGTGTGTGGGTCCGGTCTTTTGATGAAGAGGAGGTTAAATTTGGAAATCAGGTTTTCCTTACATTTGGTCGACATAGTAGCAGCTGAAGAGGCAGTCATATTGTCTACATGTTCCCAATCCGATGTGGACATTGTTGCCGTCAATGATAAGTGTGATTTGTAGAGTGTCTGTCTAACTGATCTAGTTCGGTGCGTATACGTCTGATTTTTTTCTGAGATAAGAGCTAAGCTAGTTTTGAAAAGAATTCGTTTCGCATTAGAAGTTACAGCACACCTGAAGACGACCGTTTGAGTTATGGTCGAAACGTCGTGAGAATTTTTTTATTGTTTTATATATATTTTATTATTTTGTTGTTTCTCTTCAACGTGACTTTACCGAAAAAACTAAGAATATGTATAGCTCTTTTTCGTAAGTGACCTGGCCACAAATAAGTTCAACAAAGTGGCTTATCACGTGGAAATTTATAGCAGCCACATACTCTAAACACATTATTATAAATGTGGAGGGGAAAACCAGAGGACCCGGAGAAATATCCACGCGACCGCGGGGAGAGAAACACGCAAACTCCAGATATACAGGCGTCAGGTCGGGATGGAACCCACGACCTCCTGCATACCAGGCGAGGTAGTTAACATCTCGCTCACTGTGCTGACAACTGTGCGACCTACTGCGGCACCGCACCAACCCTGAATTCCTGTATTGTCATGTGTGGTGTGGTGCTGGGGTGTAGTGGTTTAAGACTCTGTGCTACAGTCTCAGTACAAATACTTTTAACACTCCTGGACTTAACACCATCATTGCTAAGTGGTACCTGAACGCATCATAGAATGCTCCTAAGTTAACCCGGTTTGACGTGAGTGCCTGGTACAGTGTGTGCGCGTGCATCAACACTGAAGGGACAAAGGTGGATGACAGTAGCAACTCCCCGTGTGCTGTGCCGCTCTTAATAGATGCTCGCCAGCAGCACCTTGCACCTGCAGTTTATTTGTTTTCAAAAGTGGAAGGAAAAAGGGGAAGATGTAAAACCATGCCGATAGAAGCAGTGGTATGAGATCTAGCAGAAACAAATATTGAGAATGAGCAAGGCAGTTGTAGGCACCGGAAAGACTCTTGGCCCCGTCGCTACGTTATGTTAAATTTATTTCGCACCGTATGTAGCCAACCGTGATAATCGGAGGACAGCAAATTAAACATAAAAAGCGGTTTTAAAGAAATACATTTTAAATCTATATTTAAAAGCGCATAGCTCCAATCACGAATGAATGACCTGACCGAAGGAGCAGACGATGATGATCACGACGGTGAATATTCTCACTTCCGTCGCACGCATTCCTTCGGCCTTTGCGTGAACACACCTACGCCTAGCACGTTCGTACTCATGTTAAATAACACACTCGCCCGCGCGTGTCCACGCCGCGCCGCTCCCCACCACCACCAGGTTCGCTTCAACGTGTCGGTGGAGCTGACCTCGTGCCTGCCCGGCACGCACACGCTGCTACTGAAGCCCGTGGGCCTCCGGGACGTGCTGCAGCTCGAGGTGACGGCGCGGTGCGGCTGCCAGTGCGAGGCCGCACCGGAGATTGCCAGCCCTCGCTGCACGGCGGGCAACGGCGACTACACGTGCGGTGTGTGCGCCTGCTCGCCGGGGCGGCTCGGCCCGCGATGCGAGTGCGCCAGCGGCAGCGGCGGCGACGAGGGGGGACCCGGCGGAGGAGGAGGAGGAGACGGAGGAACGGGCGAGTCGGAGAGAGAGTGCCGGGCCGAGCCTGAGGCGCCCGCTTGCAGCGGGCGCGGCGACTGCTTCTGCGGGACCTGCCAGTGCCACGGTAGCGAGTTCGGCCGGATCTACGGGCAGCATTGCGAGTGCGACAACTTCTCCTGCGCTCACCACAACAGCAACATCTGTGCAGGTGAGCGCCCATTCATTGTGCGGGCCCCACCCCTCTCTCAATGGAGAGCCAATATCTGAATTGTGCTGGATGTGGAAATGTTCTTATCGTGGTTGGTAACACTCCTGCCTCACAGCAAGAAGGGCCTGGGGATCGATTCCCCAATCGGGTGGCTTTCTGCGTGGAGTTTGTATGTTCTTCCCCGCCTTCTGAATGGGTTTCTCCTGGGTTCTATGGTGTCCTCTAATAGCAATATCGGCCAAACATCTGAATGCTGACATTGCCCTGAACATAACTCAATTGGGATTACGCAAAGCAATTTTTACTCGCAACTGTGAATACTTGGTAGGAGACTCCTGAATAAGAGCTTTAAGACTCCTGGGTAAATGTAATGCATAAATAAATAAAGATTCAATACCGTGAACAAATGCAATGAATAAATGATTCGGACAGGCGCTGCATAAATATCACAGCATTAAAGATGTGAAATGAACATGATTGTAGCGGCGAATCAGTGTTCACGCTGGCAGGATCAGGGTGAGGGTGGTTAGCCCTGTACACCTGAGAAATGGAGGCCGCTTTGTCTGCGGCAGGTCTATCACTATGAGTGGCAGCTGAACAGACTGCGGATGGACGATGGTATATGAAGGAGAGGGTAGATTGAGAATAATCTTCAGATGCTTCAAGAAAGCTGGGCATATTGTTTTGCTAGGCTATGCATGCCTTAGTTACCAGTCTATTCATAATCTCCTCAATTACCAGATCTGATCGAGACGTTGTTCATCCTTCTTAGAAGAGTCAGTGACATGACAAGGTTGGAGTATGTTATTCGTGTGTTTTTCCATTTTTTCCATGTGAGGTATCAATTATTATTATTATTATTTTTGGACGATTGGCCAGTGTCCCCTCTGAATTCCGGGCTGAATGGCACCAGCTTTGATAGGATCCTGGAGAGATCTTTCACCAAATGCAGAGGTGAATTGAAGAGGATGTTGCTGGGCAGCAGAGTCCAGGGAGGTGCTGCCCGCCGCTGCCATGGAAGCCGTCCGTGCCCAGCAGGCGGCGTTCAAAATGGTCGATGGACACACACGGACTTCTGAAACTTTGTTATAAGGCGAGACGGTGTTCCGAAGAAAAAAAAAGAGAGCATAAAAGTAAATATGTTGTGAAAAAGGGGTGAAAAGGCTGGCCTGCAAAGATGTAGCAAACACCACTTGAGGAAAGGATGACAAAGAGGCTGTGTGGATTCTGCACATTTTGGGTAAGTGCAGTTGGGTATTCAGAAGATAAGTGGATTTGAATGGACGTCCCAGAACCATTATTTTGGAGAACAAAACAAGCAGACTGCCCAATGGCTTATTGGAAGGTCTATTTCTCAGAAACTAAGCTGTATTTGTCAGCGGGAAGAGCTTACATTTTTGCGTATGACATATATATGTATCTGCATTAACAGGTCACATTAGTGCAGTGTGAATCTCAGACCTGACAATAATGACATCAGTAACAGGCATAGTCCTTGAACCTTTATAAGGAAGGCCATGTATAGTATTGGGAAGAGGGAATATACATTTATTAATGTTACCTCTCATCTCAGATTTATAGTTTGTACTAAAGAGCAGAAGCTTAATTTCAGTTTCTAAAGTTCCACTTGGAGGTGCTGTCTTTTTAGATACCGATGCATTATTTAATCATGCAGGAATATATTTTTACTTTACATATGCCTTAGAATTTGTAATTTGTAATTAAATACTTCCTAAACTGATAGTTGCGTTATGAAAAGAAATAATAAGGTGACACTCCTGAGGATTATTCTCTCTTTTTAAGGCAGCCTAAGCATAAAAGTAATGAGCTGTTTAATTCAGAATAAAAATTAATGCAGCAAAAGGCTTTCATATTTATGTAAATCTATCAAAAGTGAATTTGACCATTACCAATGGAAACTGACAATGGAAACTGTATTTAAACCACAGTGTATTCTGTACCATATCATTTATTTAATATATGATAGAATGTGTGAAGATATAATGGAATGCTACTGCCATTTTTTTCTTCTAAATTGGTTACATCATGATAACCTTGAGCATTAAATCCCTTATTATGCAATGTTATTAAAAAATAATGCTTCAAAATCCACCAAACATGAGGCTGACGTGACTTGTTCTGCCCATTCTCAATATGGATGTATGACATAAATATGGATGGTATGACATAATTGACTAAACAATGAAAGTCACTCAATAAAAAAAACACGTACATTCATTTAAATCTAATCTACATACGTGGCTTGAAAAGCACCTCTGCTCAAGAGTTTTAAGCCGTTGATCGGGAAATTGTGGTCGTTTGCTACGATGGACAGGAGGGTTGCACACAATCCCTGCCACATGCCCTTCCACTTAAGGTTTGATATATGGTATTGTCATAATTTGGGGTGACGATGTAATGCAATAAAAAAAAATTACCCCCGTAAAAGATTATACATTCTAAAAATAGATATATAACAAGTGATGTCTGCTATCCACACCTCTGATTGGCTACATACGGTGAGAAAGAAGTTCAACATACATGCGTACATAAAATGTCAAAATAAAGGTGCAGCTCTGAAATAGCCTGCTCATGCCACTGCTGCTGGAAGGGTCTCTTAAGCTGTCCTTGGCCCCAATCCTTCACCCACCCACACTGACCACCATGGTGAAGTAAAGTTAAACAACACCTACGAAACAACACAGCAATTGCAATAATTAACACAACTTTAGACACTACATTTCATTCGAAATACTGTATGGTAATGTGTTAGCTATAACTTGGTTTTGTGCATTACGGTACTTTGGATATAACTTGGAATTGATATAACGTTGATACATAAAGTAACGACTGTTTGTGAAGTCTCTTTCAATCAGGCTGACAAAATATCCAACATACAAAAATATCCATTATCGTGAGGAATATACAGTATCTTCTTTGGTTCTTTCGGTAAAGTCAAGTGGCCGAAACGTCGTGAGAATATTATTGTGTCATTTTATTTTATCAATTTATTATTTTATTCTCATTCTACGTGACTTTACCGAAAGAACCAAAGAAGATGAATCATTGCAGCCACGAAAGCTTTAAATCGGAATATACAGTACTTAGAAAAACAGAATTATCAATTGCTATAATAAAAAAACTCCCACTCATAACAAGAAAACACATTTTAAAAATTGCATCTGCGCAGGGTTTGGGAGCGAGTTGCATGCACTTGAAACCTTGTGAGTAGCATCCCCTGTTCCGCGCGAATACCTGGTAAAAAAAGGGGCCTCTATGCATGCACATGTGGTCAGAGTTAATTCCGCCAGTCCCGCTAATCTAGGAGGGCCAGATGAGAAGGTGGTTTTAAAACGGGGCAAGTGAGAGGGTCCTAATCGGGCTTGGCCACGTACATGCACACACGCACACGTGAAAGAAAAAAAAGACACGAACACATCACCGCATGTTCCAGAATGCACCCTTCAGAGAGGAGAATGTGCAAAGTTTGTGGAAAGCTTTGGGCAGGAGTGGGTGGGGGGGGGGCTAAGCTGTTTATATATGAATAAAAGTTGTTCTTGTGGGGATGTGGGCAGCTGGGATGCCTTCATTATGATACACGCATTGTAACAAAGGGGCACGGATGCGGAACTAATGACGAGGGACTTGACACAGGGGGCCCTGCGCACGGCACACTCACCAACGAAGACAGGGAGAAAGTTAGGGAGAACGTTAGGAAATGAATGAATAAAGTAGAACTCCGTATATATATATATTTTTTTTACTTTTGACGATATGTGAATAAAATGTCAAACTATTATTGACTAAACATGACTGAGTCACGGTAGAGTATGAGCAATGGCGTTTTTGGGGGGGTTGATTGTACATTGCTATGACGGAAGGAAAACAAAGCAATGTGTTATTTTATTATGAGGCTGTGACGCTACAGTACGTACCGTTCACTGGATAGTGGTCATCATGGTGTTGGGAAAAAAAAACATTTACGGCCACATTAGTTTGGCATGATGTTGTTGAATCAGTTGAGATTCACAATGTCTGGTTTAAAATTCTGGTTGAGGTCGGGAAATGTAGCAATTCTTTCTCATAGCTGCAAATTGTCTACACATTTATCAGCATCAGATGCAACAGTGGCCACCAAGAAAGATTCCCACACCAAGAACAAATATATACACGTGTTTTGATTTAAAGCTTTCATGACTGCAGTAATTCATATTCTTAGTTCTTTCTGTACACTGTTACTTTCCCAAAAATAAAGGCATCTTTAACCACAGTCGACTTAAACCAAACTGTATATATACAAAACGATTACAAAGTTATCTCTGCCTAAAACGTTCTTGTCATTTTTCTTAACGAATACAAATCTAGCTGTCTTTGGCAAAAATATATTTATTGCAAAAAAATACGTCTTTAGGGTTAAGGCCACAGCAGTTAACGTTATCTTGCCGTTTTCAGATTAAAACTGCCATACTGTGCCTACCAGCAGTGCTATTCCAAGTGGTAACAGCATCCGCTTTAGTTGCTGGAGATTGTGGGTTTGATTTTCACAGCCAGTGCTACTACACCCAAGCATTTAACCCCAGTACATCCGGGTTCACACTCTGTGTAAAACAGTCTCCACGAAGGTAAAATTAGCATTATTCAACTCTATGTTGGCATTATAGTAGTCGAGAGAATAACACGAGGTATGGGGCAATTTTTTTTCACCATCACAGAGAACATTTATGCAAGGAAGTTCATTCTCATCTCGATGAATTTTGGATATGACCGGAGGGCAGAGAGGCTGAATGTCAGGCGGTGGGGGTTCACGCTGTGCCATTTAAAGATATTGACATTACACGGACAACAGCAGTGCTTGAATCCATCACAGTTATCAGCAGCTTGAACTCGTTAGGAGGAGGGAAAAAAAGCCAATCGCAGATTGCATTTTACCTCGTCACCTGAAAAGCTGACTTGTCGTTTCTGTAATTGGACACTGTATCGTCTCCAAGTGCCCAAATGTA